TTTTGTGCTTTCTCGCCTTTTCTCTCTTGGAGCCGTCTTGGGAGCCTCTTGGGCCTCTTGGGGGTCTCTTGGGAGCCTTTTGGAGGCCTCTTGGGCGCCTCTTGGGGCCTTTTGGGGCGCTCTTGGGGCGCTCTTTGGGCGCTCTTGGGGGCCTTCGGGGCGCTCTTGTGGCCATCTTGGAGGAGATCTATCAAAGGAAGTGTGGGTCCCCAATTTAGCGTTGGCCCCTCTAGAGTGCCTCGAGTCGCCTCTGGGCCACCCCAGAGGCCAAAATTCCGATGCCAATTACGTAAAAAATCATGTTTTTTTGCTTTATCCTCGCCTTTTCGCTTTCTTGGAGCCGTCTTGGGCCATCTTGGTATCTCTTGGGGCCTCTTGGGGGTCTCTTGGCAGCCTCTTGGAGGCCTCTTGGGGGCCTCTTGGGGCCTCTTGGGGCCCTCTTGGGGCGCTCTTGGGGCGCTCTTGGGAGCCTTTGGGGCGCTCTTGGGGCCATCTTGGAGGAGATCTATCAAAGAAGGGGGGAGCTCCAATTAGGGTTGCCCCTCTAGAGTGCCTCGAAGCGCTTCTTGGGCCCCCCCAAGAGGCCAAAATCCTTCCAAAACCTAGGTAGAATCAATGTTTTGTGCTTTCTCGCTTTTTCGCTCTTGGAGCCGTCTTGAGCCATCTTGGGCGCCCTGACACCTCGCGAGACGCCTCGTCCAGGTCAGTGGGGAGGGGTAAGGGGAGGGGTAAACCCCTCCCCGAAGGGGAAGAAGGGGGGTTGGCAGAGGAAACTCCCTAGACCACCTACGCCCTAAAGGGCTGGTGGGATTTTCAAGGTCCCCCACTCAGCAAAATATACTCGCGCCGGGACCCCCCCACCCCCCCTGACACCGCCAACCTCCTGAGGCCTCTGGCATCGGTTTTTGTAATTCAAGGCCCCCCCCTCAGCAAAATCCTCGGCCAGTGGAGGGGGCCCCCCCCCACCGCCCCTGACACAGCCAGTCTCCTGAGGCCTCTGGGCATTGGTTTTTTGTGGCTTTCATTGCCCCCCCACTCAGCGAACTCCTCGCCGGGACCCCCCCACCTTCCCTGACACAGCCAGCCTCCTGAGGCCTCTGGGCATGGGTTTTTCGTAGATTTCACGGCCCCCCCATTCAACAAAATCCTCGCCGGGACCCCCCCACCCTCCCTGACACAGCCAGCCTCCTGAGGCCTCTGGGCATGGGTTTTTCGTTTCAAGCCCCCCCCACTCAGCAAAATCCTCGCCGGGACCCCCCCCCACCCCCCCTGACACAGCCAGCCTCCTGTTGCCCCTGGGCATGGGTTTCTCGTAAGTTTCAAAACCCCCCCACTCAGCGCCAGCAACGAGCCAGCAACGAGCCAGCAACGGGGCCAGCAAAATCCTCACCGGGACACCCCCCGCACCCCCTGACACACCCAGCCTCTGCAGGCCTCTGGGCATGAGTTTATCGTAGCAACCCGGAGACTTCAGAGGTTTGAAGGACCCCCCGCTCAACAGAAACCTCATCAGGACCCCCCCCCCCACACCACCCCTGACACGCCCAGCCTCCTCCTCCTCTCCCTCAGCCTCTGGACGCCTCCTTTGTGCTTTCCGCCCCCACGCCGCCCTCATCTCCCCCAGTATTCCGCTTCACCTTTTTTTGGTCGTTCGCGCCACGACGTCATACGACCGGTCTGCCACGCGCTTCCGGCCGCGCTCCTGGTCTGCGTGGCACTCATTACAACGCTGCGTCCCGTTCGGCCTCTGCGTCGTCCCCACACATTCAAACTGCACCCCCGTCCACCTTACTCCGAACGCGCACGGGCACACACACACACACACGCACACACACACACAGCCAAGTCCAATCATGGGAGCCCCGCCGATTCCCAAAAGCTAATACAAGACAGGGCGATTGCACCTAACCTACACGACCCAGGACGACTCCAGAGCGGCCAAAAAAAAAACGGCCGAAGAGGGCCACAGGACGGCGGATGAGGGGGCCCAGAGGAGGAACCCGGGCGTAAATTTCGAGCATGCGGCCCCGGGACGCCGATGCCCGTCCGACTTATCGGAAACACGCATACGGAAAAGCACACGCGGTCAGCCAAACGCACTGAGCAAATTAGCCTCCCTGAACTTCTCTGGGGTCGGCGGCAGAGGCGGCAGCCTTTAGATATCATCCGTTGGTGCCGATGGGTTGGGTATGTCGCAATGTACTTGAATAGATTTGTATTTTGGAGCATCGTTATGAAGGATTTTGATATGCGCGCGCGCGGCGGCGCGCGCACGCGCCTCGCATTGCTTTCGCAAGTGTTTCTTAGTGAATTTACGTCTCGGATGAACGCATGCGCAACGCATGAGATGATTTGACAAGGGTGAGGGATGGGTGCGATGCCGCGACCGGCTGGCATGATCTTCTGTGATATCTCGGATGAGCGGCCGTGCAGAAGAAAGGTAAACAAATACCCCGAGGGGTGCGCTTACCGCCCCGGCCTCGGCGGGGGGGTCGAGTACAGTCGGGGCGTTGACCTAAGGAACCCTAAATAAGGAATGAGGCCCCTTTTTCCCATAAGTTAAGCTTCGATTCCCCATGGGAAGCCTCAGGAAAACCCAAGGCAAACTGTGAAGCAATCGAGGAACACCGAGCCCCTCCCCAACGAAAAGGGTTCCTTCTTCAGCGCCCCGACTGTGCACCAGGAAGCCGGAGCACACACACACGGCTGGATCCGCACGTGGAGCATCCGGGAGCCACGCGCTGGACACGCACGTGCAGAGGCTCCGCGCCCGGCCACAGCAAGGCCGAGTGCCGGAACCGCCGTGCGGACACGAGTGCATCCAGCTCTCGCCCAGGCCAGCCACATCGTGTGTAGCTGAATCTAGCTGCCTGGTAACCCAGATCTCCGGCGTCGTGACTTTTTCACAAAAAGGTGTACCCCCAGAGGTCTCGACCCCTTCCGCGGGACCGCCTTTCCATACGGAGGTTCTCTTTGCCGACCCCGGGACCCAAAGAGAGCCACCGGGAAGCCGAAAACTGCACGCCGTGATCTTTTCCGCAGCGAGAGGAAATGGGAGCTCTTCTGGCGCGCTGGTTCGCGTCCGCGCGCAGATTGGCCGGTCCCCGGCGAGCCTCCTGACCCATGGCCTCCTCTGGGGAGCGCTGCGGTGCTCCTGCCCAGTCGCCGTCGGGCAGCCTCCAGGTCCTGGCGGCGCTCGCCGCGAAGAGGCGCATCAGGCGCTGGTCCGCCTCGGCCTGGTCCGCCTCGGCCTCCGCGTCCAGGCGTGCCAGCACCGCCTCGACCTACAGGAAGACCACGACTACCCTCAGGTCGGGCGTGTACCCACCCCTACAGGGGGGTTTTGGATGGAAAATCAAAAATATTTTCTAAAAAATACTTCAGTACTCAGAAAAAGATCCCCAGACTATTTTTTGGACTATTTTTGAATCTTCCCCCTGTAGATGGACAGGCCCGACTTAAAACTCTACCCTCACCTCCGGACGCTGCGGACAAAACACGGCGGGGCGTTCCGGGCCATCTTCGGCCTCTGGGGGCCCTCGCTGGGCCCCGGGATCGTTCACAAAAACAGGCCCCGGCCGGGATGAAGACCCGGTCCTGAAGACCCGGTCCTGGGGGGTCCGGATCTTCGGGAGCCCGCGTCGTGAAAGATCGCAAGGTCGGAGTTCTGGGTATGCAGCTGCAGTGGCCCTGGCCAGGCTCACCCTGGGCCCACGCTGGGTGCGTGCGCCCTTCTCCTGGCGTGGGCAGGAAGGCGCACTCACCGATTCCCTGGGCCCAGGATCGGTGCAGGTGCTCGCTCATTCGCCTACTATCGGGGATGGACAGAACCCCCTTTGGTGAAACTTGGTTTAGTGGAAACGATCTCGGGCTCAAGCCTGGCGGGCGCAAGCCTGGAAAATGACGGCAGCGGCGCCCTCTCGAGAACCGAAGGCGGACAATTCACTAATCGACTTGTCAAGGTGGGGGCTCTGTCCGCCCCGGATACTACTGGCGGTCAGCCGCCTGGGGGTAAGAGTCAGCGAAGGGCAACAGCAAAAAAGGAACAGCTGTTTCCGAGAGAAATACGGGCCCGTGCACAGAATGCCCCAAGGAACTGCCAAGGACAAACCGCGGAAGGTCCACCTTTCGAGACGATCGCGGCCCCGAGCAAGGCAGATCCCATGAACGGGGCGTACCTTTTCCCGACCCCGGGGAAAGGCTGCCCCCCTCCGTTTCGGGAGCGGCCAAGAGGGGGGTGTCCAAGAGGGGGGGGTGCAAATCATGACCGGCGGCATGTGCGCGGCCCAGCGGGGGGGCCAGGGACGTGATGGAATCAGAAGGGGCGCCATGAAATCTCAGGAGGTATCATGGCCCCGCCGTGATATACCCCCCCCTAGTCATCACCCCCCTCCTTGCCGCCCCCGAAAGGGGACTGAGTTGGCTAGGGCCCGAATCCATCGGTCAAAGGGGGCGGGAGGATGAAGGCAACTCATCCCAAGGTCAATCTGGTGCAATGTTTCACCCAGAGCCAGAGATCCGTTTCATCCGTGTCCTGTGCCGGCCATTACTGGCGGCGCGCACAAGGGGCCAGGGGGAGGGGGGAGTCTTCTCAGAAGGAGGCTGCTTCTTACAAGGCGCCGGCCTTGCAACTTTGGAGGAGGCCCGCGCCTTATATGTCAATCTGGTGCAATGTGTCAAGGCAACTCATCCCAAGATCCCTTTTTCACGAGCAAAAGGCCAAGACCTTTTCTCTAACACCTCGAGTCTGCTAAGGGGGCGCTCCACCGGAGCCCTATCCGAGGACCTGCCGCGGCGTGCGCGCCGCGCGCGCGGGCCCCTCGCGCGGCACGGGCGCGTCCGGCCAGCTGAGCTGCATCGCCCGGCAGGGCGCCCACGCCAGCGGCAGGAGGATAGGGGAACAATTAAGGACACACACAGAAAGACTCGGAGGTCCGCGCGGATTTCTCGGATCGGCGCTCGACCCCCCTCCCTGGCGCGCGGAGCGCGCCAGGGGCGGCGCCGGAGGCGCCGCCAGGGGGCCCCAGCGCCGATCCGAGGAATCCGCGCGGACCCCCGAGTCTTTCTGTGTGTGTCCTTGTTTGTTCCCCTAGAGGAAGGCCCGGGGCCACGCGGGGGCGGGCCGCCGCGCGGCGGCGGCCATCAGGGGGTTGCGCCGGCGGGGGCGGCCGCGTGATACGTAGTCATGCGTCGGGGGGGCGTAGGACTCGGCTCCGGTCGGGGGGCGTCCAGGGGGAGTTCACGCTTCTCGAGCCTCCTGGGCCTCCTGGGGGTGGGGGGGAGCAAAAAGCGCTCCCCGAACACACATCCCAATACAGAAAAGTGCATCCTGGGGCCTCCTGGGGCCTCCTGGCCTGGGGGCGTCCAAGAGGGGGCTTTCGCAGCCCGTGGCCCGAGGCATGTGCACGGACGAGAGGGGGGGACCAGAGACGCAGTGAAAGAAGAGGGGTCATGATATGTGGGGAGATATCGTGGCTCCCGCCATGATCCCCCCCCTATACCGTGCGGGCGCGGCCGCAAGAAACCCTCGCAAGAAACCCAACCCCGAGAACCCGTGCGCGAGGTGCACCTGAGGGGAAACCCGGAGCACCCTGAACGCAGCAACTCCTTCAACGGCTGCGGGAAGTCACCGCGCAGCGCGAGGAGCGAAGAAACCCAGGATACCCTGACGAAAAGCATATGGTTTCTTGATGCGCGCCTCCCCCTATACTCATCCCCCCGCCCCCGATTCGGGGGACTCGGGTTGGTCTGACGGGGGCCGTCCCGAAACCGACGAGACCCAGCCTGAAATTTCAAGCGGGCTCCCGCTGCAGACACTCCACGAAAGCTGAACTGTCAAAACTGACGACGAACCCGTCCAAATGCGTTGGCGAACCAGAGCTCCGGCAACCTCGAGTCTTACGCTTCCCCGCATGTACGGGGGTGACTCGTCATGGATCAACGTCTAGCGGGTGACCGAGCGGCCCCCCGCTGGGAGCCCGCGAGGACACGGGGCAACGATGGTGGTGGCGCTGGCGAGGGGGAGCGACGGCGACGAGGACGAGTATGAGACTGATGACCCCGCCTTCTCTGGTCGTGAGAGAATCACGGCGCGAGGTTTTTGTCCACTCTTGCCCTCTGGGGGCCCTCGCCGGGACCCAGGGCCGTCAAAAACGACTCGGGACGCAAAACCGGCCCAAGCGGAAGGGGTCTAGATCTCCGGGGGCCCACGTTGCGAATGAATCACGGCGTCGGACCGCCGGGCAGTCCGCCGCGGGTCTTTTCTTGCAGCGCTGAGCGTGAGACGGACCCCCTCTCTTCGCTGTGGCGAGGGCCCAGGGACTGGCCATCGCTCGGACGTCCAGGCCCTGTGCTTCCTTCGGCTTCGTGCGTGGGTTCTGCCGCCACATGATCAAGGATGCTCCCCGACGGCCCTCGCCGAGGGACACAAAATGCACACGTCCGAGCGATGCCAAGGGGACCTGGCCTGGGCAGGACGCCGGGCAGGCCTGGCCTTCGAGGCCCCGGCCGGCGGCGAGCCCGTGGGGGGGGGGACGGGGGCAGGACCTCTTCCGCAGGGCAGGGCGGTGGGGCCTCCCAGAGGCCCTCGCGCCCTCTGAGCAGCCCGGCGGGCCTCCGCCGAGGCCGCGGGCGGCTGCTCAGCAGGCGCGACGTCACCGCCGCGGCCGCCGCCGCCGCCGCCGCCGCCGCCGTCCTCCTCCTCCTCCTCCTCCTCTCCTCCTCCTCCTCCTCCTCCTCCTCCTCCTCCTCCTCCTCCTCCCCCTGCTGCTTCCTGCTCCTCCTCCTCCTCCTCCTCCTCCTCCTCCTCCTCCTCCTCCTCCCCCTCATCCCCCTCCTCCTCCTCCTCGCTCCTCCTCCTCCTCCTCCTCCTTCCTCCCCCTCCTCCTCTCCTCCCCCTCCTCCTCCTCCTCCTCCTCCTCCTCCTCCTCCTCCTCCTCCTCCTCCTTCTCCTCCTCCTCCTCCTCCTCCTCGCTCCTCCTCCTCCCCCTGCTGAGAACACGTGCGAGCGATGCCAAGTGCCTTGGCCCACCGCGCCCCGCGGCGGCGACGGCGACCTCCGCGGCCTCGTGCCCTCGCTCCGCGCCCCCTCGGCGAGCAGGGGCGGTGGGGAGGCAGCAGCAGGGAGGAGGGGCGAGGAGGAGCGAGGGGAGGAGGAGGAGGAGGGGCGAGAGAGCGAGGAGGAGGAGGAGGAGGAGGAGGAGGAGGAGGAGGAGGAGGAGGAGAGGAGGAGGAGGAGGAGGAGGAGGAGGAGGAGGAGGAGGAGGAGGAGGAGGAGGAGAGGAGGAGGAGGAGGAGGAAGGAGGAGGAGGAGGAGGAGGAGGAGGAGGAGGAGGGAGGAGGAGGAGCGAGGAGGAGAGGAGAGGAGGAGGAGGAGGAGGGAGGAGGAGGAGGAGGAGGAGGAGGAGGAGGAGGAGGAGGAGCGAGGAGGAGGGAGGAGGAGCGAGGAGGAGGAGGAGGAGGAGCGAGGAGGAGGAGCGAGGAGGCTGGGAAAACCCTGCTGGGCTGGAGAATGCGGAACTGCCAGCGCCGTCCGCGCTCCCCTGCCTGCCCGTCCATGCACGAGCCCCTTCCGGAGCCCCCGACCCCCGAGCCATGCCCGACCCGGCGCACGCACCCTTTTCAGCCTGTCGGCGTGCGCTCTCGGCCGACCCGCGCTGTGCGAGCGCCAGCGCTGCGACATAGAAAGTGTGCGCCTCTGGCGCCATCCATGCCGCCCGCTGCCCGCCACTATTTGGAGGCGCGGTGGGAGGGAGTGGCTCAGGCTTGGGGAGGCCACTGAGCTGAAGCCCCCGTATCCGAAAGATCGTTTCGGCCCCCCAGGCCGCCTGGGGATCAGGCTCGGCCAGTATCAATGGCGACACTGTCAAAGCTAACCCGCGCACACAAAATCAAACGCACGGGCGCACGTGCACGCACTTTTTGGTGTTGCGGCCACGCGCGCGGCGGCGCGGTGTAGACAAGTGCGTGCACACACAAACACGCAAACACTAGCATATACAAACACAAGCACACACACAAACACACATACACACAAACATGCATACACACACTCAAACACACAAACACACAAACACACACACAAACACAAACACACACACAAACACACACTCAAACACACACAAACACACATAAACACATACACAAACACACACAATACACACAAACACACACGCAAACACAAACAAGCACACACACAACACAGACAAGCACATACAAGCACACACGAACACACAAACACTCACACACACACTCACACACACTCACACACACAAACACACACACAAACACACATACACACAAACACACAAACACACATACAAACGCACACACAAACGCACACAACCACACACAAACACACACACACACATACACGCAAACACACACAACACACAAACACACAACCAAATAACCATTTACACCTACAACAACACACACAAACACATACAACCACATACACAAACACAAACACAAGCACAAGCACAAACACAACCACAAACAATTTGACAAACAAACATAAGCATACGCATAAGCACAACCACACACATACAAACACAAAACCACACACAAACACACTCAACCACACACAAGCACACCCACACACAACACGCACACAAACACACAAACGTACACAAACACACACAAACACACAACCACACACACACCAGCACACACAAACACAGACAAGCACATACGAACCCACACACAAACAAACACATACACACAAACACAAACACGCGCACAAACACACACACACACACTCACACAAACACACACAATCACAGACACGCACACAAACACACAAACACACAACCACACACAACCATACATGCAACCACACACACATACACATAACCACACACCATCACACAAACACACAGACACTTAAACACACAATCAAACAACACACAAACACAAGCACGCACACAGACACAAACACAATCACAATCACACTCACAACGACAACCACAACCAAACACAAGCATAAGCACAAGCACCACCATAAGCACAAACACACAACACACATAACAGCACATACGCAATACACAAACAGAAACACACACACACACGCACGCACGTTCACACATACGTATACTTGCGCTCACACACAAACACACTCACGCTCACCTTCACACGCGTTCACGCCTTCACCCATTCACACGTTCAAACACCGCTACACACGTCTACGCACCTTCACACACAAGTTCACACATGTACACGCTTGTGCACACATGTGCACACACGTCAATACGCGTCTACTTTTTGTTGTAAGAGGCGCGAGTGTCTGATTCGAGCTGCCCCGAAAATAGCCAATGCCCGCTGGGGGTAGGGCAAGGCGCGCGCGTGGTGTGCAGCAGAGCGAATGAGGGGTAATGGTAGGAGGGGGTTGGCCCAGGGGGCGGGGGGGGGAACATCGACCTGTCATCGGCGATGCGTCGCCGATTAGTCGGCGATAGGCCACCGATAACAAAACCGCACGGTCCTACGCGGGGTGGGCCATCGGGCCCCTATGGGCGATCAGTGGGCGATTGAGGTCATGCATCCCCCCCCTGAGCCCATCACCCCTTAACGTTGCCCCATATGCCCCACCGACGTCGTGATTTTCTCACTTGGACCCCCAGAGATCTGGACTCCTTCCCTGGGGCTCGTCCTCCATCCCGAGTGGTTGTTCTAAAGTTCGGGGGCCTGGCGAATGCCGGGGGCAAACACGTGCCCAAAGAACCTCCCGTCGTGATTTCTGCGCAGCTCTCGACGAGGGCTCTGGCTTTGTGTGGCCAAGAGATGCTACGATATCTGGCGGTTCACGTTGAGCGTTCCTCATCACATTCTCTGTTCTATTATTTTGTATATGTACATGCCAAAAAACAAACAAACGGACATGACGGTGCAGAGGGGGTAGGAGCTCTGACATGCACGTGGCGACTGACAACTCAACGGATCCGAAAACCGCACTCCTCTCACCCCCCTCTCTCAACTTAAGCAACTCAACCGCTCAATCACGTCTCCATGTGTATTTCACTGTGTCAGACTGGCAGCCGCCGCAAGCACGACATCGAACATTTGTTAAGCTTTGTTCTTCCGTCCCTTGGAAGGCGATACCCCATTGACAAACGCAGTGACTGACGAGTCCCCTCCTGAGCGAAACATTCAGTATCGCGTACGACTTCAGAAACATATCGCATGAGTGCAACTTGAACTCCTACCAAACACGCAACAACACGCAATTTTCCCTGAAGCGTGGCAATGGGTCGCAATCGGGAGCTTACGTATTACAGGCTACGTTGAACACAAACCAGATCTGCCACACTGGGCCAGGACATGAGCAAGCTTGGAGGGTTCAAAGGCAAATAAAAGGCGACCATGACACCAGGCAGAGAAGACGAGTTGGTGCAGGAAACAATAACACGCACACGCATGCGCACGCGCACACGCGCACACGCATACGCGCGCACATACGCGCACACGCATACGCGCGTACACACGCGCACGCGCGCACACTGGGAGCACGAAAAGATACCGATATCGCTGCTCCTCGGACCTCTCCCGGGGTACGTTCTGACCAGGATTTGGAAGCGAATCCAGCCGTGGCGGCAAAGGCGAAAACGAGGAAAAGGTAATGCTATTGGTGCCTGTCCCCCTCTGACATGTGCGCGCACACACGCCCACGCGCGCACCGGCACCAGTTTATCCTGTGTAGTTTGTTGCCCCCAGAGACCGAAAATGGCAACACAAACTCCCATCGTGATTTTTTTTGGCAGCGAAAGGAGGTGAGGTCCGAAGCGAATCATTTCATGTACGGGATATGTTGGAGGCAACTTCTGGGAGGTCTTCGTAACGACGATTATGGCCTATCAAACTCAATTAGGGGGCCATTGAGGACCAAGCCCCATTGAGCCAGGGACTAAGCCAGACTAAGTGGGATACAACGAGATTAGGCCAGCTTTCGATCATGGATATACCAGCGCCGATTCTGCATTCAACCTCCCAGGAACACGATCACGAGGGCGGGCTCAATTTCTGAGGTCGCAGCCCTACTCCGATATCGTACCGTTCTTTCGCGTCAGTGTCAAGATCCACAAAGAACCAGTGGAATCGAGACCTATGGGCAATCTGTGTGGGTATGTTCTGGGGCCAGCACCAATCTTCCCATGCCAACTCCAATTCTGAATCTAACCTCCCGGGAGTTGCATCCTTGGAGGGGAAAGAGACGGGGACCATGACCAAGACTGAGCGCGAACATGTCGTGCCGGTCTTGGTCACCGTCAACCTTGGCCACCGTCGACCTTGGCCAGCGCCACTCCGTGCATCGCCCTCGCGCATCGGCGACGGCCGACGTGGACCATGACCAAGATCGGCATCAGCAAAATCCCACGACATCTTGCCTATGGTCTTCGGGTTTCTCCCCTCCCCCTTCTCCTCCTCCTCCTCCCTCCTCCCCTCCCTCCCTCCCTCCTCCCTCCTCCCTCCCTCCTCTCCTCCTCCCTCCTCCTCCTCCTCCTCCTCCTCCTCCTCCTCCTCCTCGTCCTCCCTCCCTCCTCCTCCTCCTCCCCTCCTCCTCCTCCTCCTCCTCCTCCTCCTCCTCCTCCTCCTCCTCCTCCTCCTCCTCCTCCTCCTCCTCCTCCTCCTCCTCCTCCTCCTCCTCCTCCTCCTCCTCCTCCTCCTCCTCCTCCTCCTCCTCCTCCTCCTCCTCCTCCTCCTCCTCCTCCCTCCTCTCCTCCTCCTCCTCCTCCTCCTCCTCCTCCTCCTCCTCCTCCTCCTCCTCCTCCTCCTCCCAAGCTGTGGGAATCCTAGCCCCTGGCAGACAGCGGGCCCGCCCCCAGCAGGAGCAGGCCGCCCGCCGCGGCCGCTGCGGCCGCCGCCGGCCGCCCGCCAGGCGGCGCTCGGCTGCTCACCGCCTGCGGCACCCACTTGGCCTTCTCCTGGAGGGGCAGCGCCGGCTTCGCCGACGCACCGCCGGTGCATCGTGGATGCGGCGCGATCCTCCGATCCCACTCTACAGTCGGACTCGATTGGGCAGGACACGCGAGAGGACACAAGACCCTTTCGAGGGCCACATTGCCACAGGAATGTCGGAGGCATGGGCCGCGAGACACAGGACACAAGGGTACCCTTGATTTGGCAAGGTCGACCTACTAACCCGGGCCGACTCTGCTCAGACCCCACCTGGGAGGCCTCGAGGGGCAACGTCGTCGTCGTCGTCGTCGTCGTCGTCCTCGTCCTCGTCCTCGGCGTCGTCGTCGCCGCCGTCGTCGCCGCCGCCGTCGTCGTCGTACTCCTCCTCCTTCTCCACCTTCGCCTCGCCCTCCCCCTCATGTCGGGCCCCGCGCCTTGCGACGACGACGTAGGGTTGGGCTCCCATTGATTCTTTTGAAACCCTGGGAGGCCAAAGTCGGCCTGCGTGCGTAAGGTGAGCGTGTGGGGTCATCGGGCGCGTGTAAATAAAAAGTCCACGTTGGCATCATATATGCTAATATTTTCGAGCATGTCCAACCGAGTTTGGAGCGGTCGTATTGGGTATGGTCCTGTTCGGGTATCCCTGAGCCAGCTTAGAATGGTGGTGTCCTCGAAAGGATCTGCGGGAACCCATCGTCAGGGGGTGGAGTTTCGAGGTTTGAGGTTCGACGATTTCGGACGTTTTCGTTGGTCTTCGGTGGCTTTTTCCAGCCTCGGGATGCCTTCCAACGGCTGCGCCTCGCCGAGAGCGTTCGGGGGGTTCCCGGGTCGTCCCGAACGAACGACCGCTGGAGGCCCAATTGAATGCCCGAAAACCACCAGGGGACCGGCTCAGGGGGGGGGGAACATCGGCCTGGACTCGGCGATGCATCGCTGGCAGATCGGCGGCAGGCCCGAGTGGCGCATCCGCGTGCTCCTGGGCGGCGTGGGGCTATCGGACCGCTGTCGGCGATCAGTGGGCGACTTGTGGTCGATGCCGCCCCTTCTGAGCCTATCCCGCTGAACGTTGCCCCTGATCTCCCCGCCGGCGCTGTTGGCGCAACTGCAGCACATGAGGTTGGCGCTGAAGTCGGCATCGTCGTACGAGCCGCACTGCGCCATCGTCCAGGCGTCCTCTAGAACCGAAAACTGTCTAAACATAAGACAGCATCGCGACGGCACATTTTCGCTAATTTTCGGCCACTGGGGGCCCTCACTGGGCCGAAGGATTGCAAAAAACCCAGGATCGCAACAAAAACCGAAGGATTGCAAACAAAAAAACGAAGGATTGCAAACAAACCTTAGGTTTTTTTTGCAATCCTAGGGTTTTTTTGCAATCCTTGGGACCTTCAAACATTGCTTCAAGATATTGCATTATTTCGCGACATCGGATCTCAGGGCCCACCTCCTCTCGTTGTTAGAAAATCGCGACGGGAAGTTTTTGGCAATCTTCGGCCTCTGGGGCCGTCAAAAAACGACTCGGGATGAAAGACCGGTCCCATTGAAGGGGTCCAGACCTCTGGGGGTCCGCCATTTGATATGGACCCAGCGCGACCCTAATTAGAGGAAAACTTCCTATTGCACGGGCGCAATGCTCAGCATTGCCTGGAACGGGCCCAATAAGAAAACGAGGCAACGGGGGCGGGGAACCCGGGGTACCCGTGGAACCAAAAAAACCCGGGGAATCCGGGGAACCCGAAGAACCCGGGTAAACCGGGTAATCCAGGGAACCGCGAACCCGGGGAACCGGGTAACCCAGGGAACCGCGAACCCGGGGAACTGGGGGAACCCGAAGAACTCGGGGAACCCGAAGAACCAGGGGAACCCGGGGAAACCGGGGAACCTCCGAGCAATGGGCAAGGTAATCCCCCGAAGCACCAACTTTTAACCAAGTAGGAGCCCATAGACAAGCGTAACTGGGGAAACGCAATACGTCGGTGTTCTTGGGAGCAAGAACCTGTCGCCGCTAGCGTGGTCTTGGCCCCACTGGCCGACTCAATAACACCCTCGGTGGGTATACTTATGCCAGTTTCCTGGGGTTTCGCGGGCATGCCAGCATCTCGGAGGGTGGGCTGGCGGGTCTAAGAAACCACAGCCCACTGGGGATGGAGATAGGTTGGAAGATGCTGATAACCACACTGCGCCATCCTCCAGGTGTCCTCCAGAAGAAGAAGAAGAAGAAGAAGATCTACATTCACATGTTGGCCAGCGTGGACGCCATCCATTGAGTTTCTAGCAAAATATGTGGTGCCATCTAGGTGGAGCAATCCATGTGGTACTTTCTACATACGTGGAACCATCTATGTGAAGAAATTTGTGTGATGTAGTCAATGTTGTTGAATCTACGATTTGCAATCGATGTGATGAAATCTATGTGGTACAAGCCATGTGGTACAATCTATTTTGTGCAACCTATATGGTGCATCATAGGTGGTGCAAGAAATGTGGTGCAAAACATGTGGTGCAAGCGATGTGTTGCACGCTATGTGGTGCAAGCTATGTTGTGCAATCCATGTGGTGCCCATAGGTTGTGCGGTCCAAGACGGTGCAATCTACGTGGCACAACCTATAGAACAATCTGTGCGGTGCAATTGATTTTTACCCATGATGTAACACATCTCATGCTCTTGCAAACATCTCACCCACCCACCCGGAACTTGGTTTTCAAAACCTCTTAAGACCGTGACGGTAGGTTCCAAATGGCACTTGGCAACGACACCGGCGCCGCCGACGACGACGACGACAATGCCAACGACGACTGCGACGACACCGACGACGTCTCCGACGACTTCGACGACGACGACAACGACGACGACGACCACACCGACGACGACGACGACGCCGACGCCGATGACGACAACAACGACGACGACGATGACGCCGACGACGACGACGCCGGCGGCGACGACGACGACGACGCCGACGACGACGACGACGACGGCGGCGACGACGACGACGCCGACGTCGACGACGACGACGACGCCGACGCCGACGCCGACACCGACGCCGACGACGACGACGTCGCCAACGAAGACGACGACGACGACGAGCGAGGAGGGAGCACGACGACGGCGACAACGACGACAACGACGAGGGAGGAGGGAGGACAGCGACGACGCGAACGACGAAGAAGGAGGGAGGACGGCGACGCCGACGACGACAACGAGGGAGGAGGGAAGACGACGACGACGACGACGACGGCGACGAAATAGGAGGGACGACGACGAGACGCCGACGACGGACGACGACGACGACGAGGGAGGAGGAGGAAGGACGACCACGTCGACAACGACGACGGAAACGACCTCGACGCCAAAGAGGACGACGACGACGAACATGAGGAAAGACAGAGGACGACGTAGGCGACGACGACGACGACGCGGGAGGAGGGAGGACGGCGACGACGACGACGACGACGCAAGAGCGCGCGCGCATGCTTTTGTTGAAAATCCGTGTTGCGAAACCTTGGTTTTTGTAGGTTTTTGGACACACGATTTTGAAATCCTTCCGAAACCGATGGGTTTTGAAGGATTTCGGCATACGCGCGCGACGACGCGCGCGTCTGCACTTCGTCACATTTTTTGCAAAGGATTCTTGCGACGGCACACGCGCAAGGGCGTTCGACAGATTTCGACATGCGCGCGCGCGAAGCCCGTTTGGTAGCATTTTGTGAACATCTTGGAAAACCTATGGTTTCCTGAAGACTTCGCAAGAGCTCGCGCGTAAGTTCTTTTAGCAAATCAGTGTTGCGAAACCATGTGTTTTGGTATGTTTTTTTGTAAACTCGATTGCGAAATCCTTCCGGCACCAAAGGTTTTTGAATGATTTTGGCATGCGCGCGCGACGACGCGCGCGTGTGCACGTCGTCCTCTTTTTTGCAAAGGATTCGTGAAAGAGTCTTATGTTAGAAGAAAAAATGTCCCCGCATATCGTTTTTTTTTATAAGGGAACCTCAGGGGGACCGATCCCGGCCCCCCTGGGATAGTGTAAATTCATCATATTTAGGATGGACATGTGGTCAGAATCATCTATGATTTACATACCCATAAAGGAGGGCGGATAACGCCGGGCGGGGGTAGAGTCTATTCTCTTTTTAGAAAAGAGAACTACGTGGTGCAACCTATGTGGTGCAATTAATTTTTGACCGTGTTGAAGCTGTCCTCTCTACTGCTCGTGCAAACATCCCACCCTCCCACCCGCAACTTGGTCGCAAAACCTCTTAAGACAAGACCGTGACGGTAGGTACCACATGGCACTTGGCCACGACACCGACGCCGACGACGACAGCGACACCGACGACGACGGCGCCGCCGACACCGACTGTGACGACACCGCCGACGTCGACGACGATGACGACGACGACGACGTCGCCAACGAAGACGAGGGAGGAGGGAGGACGACGACGGCGACAACGACGACAACGACGATGGAGGAGGGAAGACGGCGACGACGCGAACAACGAAGAAGGAGGAAGGACGGCGACGCCGACGACGACAACGACGAGGGAGGAGGGAAGACGACGACGACGACAACGACGACGAAGACGACGATGACGGCGACGAAATAGGAGGGACGACGATGAGACGCCGACGACGGACGACGACGACGACGACGACGAGGGAGGAGGACAACGACGAGGGAGGAGTGAAGACGACGACGACGACGTAGGCGACGAAATAGGAGCGACAACGACGAAACGCCGACGAAGACGACGAGGGAGGAAGGACCACCACGGCGACAACGACGACTGAAGCGACGACGACGCCAAGACGACGACGACGACGAGGAAAGACAGAAGACGACGACGGCGACGACGACGACGACGAGGGAGGAGGGAGGACGACGACGACGACGACGACGACGCAAGAGCGCGCGCGCACGTTTTTGTTGAAAATCCGTGCTGCGAAACCTTGGGTTTTTGTAAATCTTTTGGACACACGATTTTGAAATCCTTCCGAAACCGATGGGTTTTGAAGGATTTCGGCATACGCGCGCAACGACGCGCGCGTCTGCACTTCGTCCCATTTTTGGCAAAAAAGGATTCTCGCGACGGCACGCGCGCAAGGGCGTTCGACAGATTTCGACATGCGCGCGCGAAGCCCGTTTGGTAGTATTTTGTGAGAATCTTGAAAAACCTATGGTTTCCTGAAGATTTCGCAAGAGCTCGCGCGTAAGCTTTTTTAGCAAATCAGTGTTGCGAAATCCTGTGTTTTTGTATGTTTTTTTGGGGACTCGATTGCGAAATCCTTCCGGCACCGAAGGTTTTTAGTTCGGCATGCGCGCGCGACGACGCGCGCGTGTGCACTTCGTCCAATTTTTTTGCAAGGGGTTCTTGAACAAGTGTTATGTTAGAACAAACAATGTCACCGCATAGTGTTTTTTACAAGGGAACCTCAGGGGGGGGGAACCCGGCTGGCCTGGGATAGTGCAAATTCATATTGAGGATGGGTCAGAACCGTATATGATTTACATACCCGAAAGGAGTGTCGATAACGCCCGGGGGGGGTAGATCCTATTCTGTTTTTAGAATGGAGAATTGATTTCTGTTCCCAGTGAGTTGTCCTCTCCACTGCTCGCGCAAACGTCCCACCCACTCACCCGCAACTTGGTTTGCAAACCTCATGCGGCGGCGATTGCGATGAGTGTTTGGCGCTGGCTGGTGCATCTCTGCGGCCGCGCCAACCCGCGCATACGCGCGCGCGCAGCGGCCAGGTATTTTCGCGCGACCGACGAGGCCGCGGTGGTGCTGACCGCTCGGCACATCCCAGCGGGCACTTGAGTGCGAGTCGGCGGCTTGGGCGGGTGCGGTATCATGGCAACGTTGACACTTCTAGACGCGATTACGATGATAATGGCGATGTTGGTGACGACAATTGTAGACCCAGGGGTCCTCAGGATCAATCTATTCCGATCTTTGAGTTATTGACCAAATTCAATGATCCTGGGACGTCCGCCCAAATGATCCTAACGAGTACCAGCCAGCAAAAAACGGCACGACCGCTCGCGTCGGCCGCGAACAACAACCAACAGCAACGCAACTCAATGCGAGCTCTCGGCGAGCGCAACCGCCATCAACATCTACACCGCGTTCCATTTCGGAAAAGCAGGAGACGCGTACGCTTCGGGAACAATTG